TCACAACGTGACGCCGCTTAAAAACCTGCTAAGTGGGGAAGCTGTCACGAAAGGCCTCATACCGTATGCTCCCATTTAGAGGAAATACCCAGAATAAGTAAATCCATGGGGACAGGAAGCAGGTCAGTGGTCGCCTGGAGTTGGGGGCAATTTCCTGGAAATGGTACGTAGCACCCGGCATATAGCATCCGCTTGAGCTTGCTCTCAGTCTTGTTTTTTACAAGATTCTCTTTTTAGAGAGATCTTACTCTAAATGGCACATTTTCAAGGCTTATGCTCACTAACTTATCGATGCAGGAGTGTTCTGGTGCTGCTTACAGCCTGCCTCCTAATGAAGAAGTTCAGAAGCAAATGAGTGGGAGATCCCGGGGTTTGCCACTCGACCTCCTGTCTCCATCTCCACCTCTAAGCTCCGCTCTGAAGCAGCCTTCCTCCTCCCTCCACCCCTCCCCCTCCCCGCCGTCTGCTTTAGCAGCCTGATGGTACAGGAAGCTCCTGACACTTCAGACTAAGTTCACAGATCTCAGTGGATGTCAGAGAGTATCTCTTTGATGTGCATTTCCTTCCGTCTTTGGTGGGTGGTGCTAGGGGGTCTCTGACTCTGGGAATCCTCCTTTCTGGGGTATAGATTGCCATCTGCCAACCTCATGAAGAAAGAAGGACAGCAACACAGTCATTCCAAAATGAAGGCAGCACGGGGAGGGGCCGGGGGGGGGGGGGAAGCAAATGTCAAACTGGAAACAGAAATCTTAAGGGTTAAGGGACATGGCTGCCCCGAGTCCTCTCCCTCACTCTTGGCTGTTCCCTCGGCTGACGACTACTCTTGGTCTCTCTGTCTCTTGCACAATTCACATCCCTCCGAGACTCTGTTTATGCAGCTCTGCACGGATTCCTTCTAGACAAATCTTCTCATCCACGGGCTCCCCGGGAAGCTCAGCCCCCTCCGCAGAAGGTGCCTCGCTGAGCGGGCACCTGCCTTCCTGGGCGAGCGCTTCTCTCAGAGACAAAGGGGAGCCATGCTATCTGCATTCCGACCTGGGTGGGGGGGAGGTGGCATTCTGCTCTGCTTGCTCGGGTCTCATCAACTTCTCCTCCCCCTTCTTCCTCAAGTCACCACACCCAGGAAATCAGTCCTCCTGTCTTTCCCAAAAGGCTGGCAGCACATGTCTCGTGGTGTGTGTTTACCGTGCCCCATGTGCTCCCCGGGAAGGAGCATGTGGTGATGTCAGTAACGACTTGTGTACCACACAGCGTAAGGCACAGGCCCTCCAGCGTGGGCCGTGGCAGATCCGCCTGCCCAGGGAATGCCTTTCCATTCATCCCTCAGAAGGTCAGGGCCCGCCTTTATCTGTTAGCTGGGAAACATGGATGAAAGGGCTGGATTTAGACTCTCTTTCGCCTCCTCCTGCTGGACTCCTGGCCAGTAGGAAACAATCACAACACAATCCCACCAAATCCTCTTCCTGGATTCTCTGGAGGTGGCTTGGTTTTACTCTTTCCTAGAGCCCGGGGACAGATGCTGCTGATGTCCCGTGAACTTAGCTCAGGCTACAAATGGGAGGCCGGTCCCCTGCGTTCCTTGTGCGGAAGGTGTTTGAAGCTCGCGGTGCTGGGACAGCCACACGCAGAGCAGGTCTTGTTCTGGGCTGACCTGTCTGCCCTCGTGGGAAGAAGCGTGGGTTATCCCGTGGTGCACACGTGACATCTGATCTTCTGTCACCATCGGAGAGGGGATTCGCAAAAGACAGGCTGATGACAGCGCCTCCCTCGTTCTGTGTGTAGCACGTACAGGCAGTGCCAGGATAGTAACCCATGTGCGTGAAGAAGAAGAACCACGGGCTCCCATTCTCGCTGTGCTCGGGGGACTGCGTGCCTCCTTCCACTTCACTGGGGACGTTTCGGAGGTGAAACCGTCCCCGAGGCCCAGGAGCTGCCCCAGGGGACTTGGAGCAGTGGGTCCCCCGGTCACAGGCCGCGATGCTGTCCCACGTGGAACAGGCTTGCTGCTCTCTGGTTTTCCACCTGAGTGAGCTTGCTTCCTGGACCTCGCGGCTTCCCACCTCGGAGCAATGTTCTGATGCCAATTCCGGCAGATGGGCCTGCTTAGACTGCCAGCTAGTCAGGAGGAGGGGCGGTGGAGGCTGGTGCCCATCCAGTGCCACGGAAATGAACTGGGGCAGTGATTCCAACCCCATAAGGCCACTTACAAATGAAAACTGTTTGTACGCCATCTCCATGGCCCGTCAGCAAAACTCAAAGCTGCAGGCATCTTGGAAACAGATAGAATTTTGGAGCCTGGAGAGGCCTTAGGTGAGGTGGGAGGGAGCGAGGAACGGTTACTAGGAAAAATTGGATAAAGCCAGGCTCACCGGGATTTGATTCCAGTAGCTACGCTTGGATCTGAGTAAGGACTAGTGGGCTGTTTAAACTCTCAGCACCCTCCCCTGTGAAATGTGGATAATAATGCTCACCTCTTGAAGGCTCGAATGAGATAGGTGAGTTGTCTGAGATAGTGCCTGACATACAGGGCATCAAGAAATGGTTTTCATTTCCTTCATTTATAAATGAAGAAGCAGATTTTGTAAAACCCCAATATTTTGCCTGGTCGGCATGGCTCAGTGGTTGAGCATCCACCTCTGAGCTGGGAGGTCATGGTTCGATTCCCAGTCAGGGCATATGCCTGGATTGTGGGCTCAGACCCTGGTGTGGGACCTGCAGGAAGCAGCCGAAAAATGACTCTCTCATCATTGATGTTCCTAGCTAACTCCCTCTCCCTTCCTCTCTGAAATCAATAAAAATATATATATTTAAAAAGCACAGTATTTTGAACTTCCTGACTGAATGCAGGAGTCGGGCTAGTTATACGTGATTATTTCAGGTGCACAAGTTAACACCCATGCTACTCGTCGTGTCAATGCTTTGGTTTGAAAATTTCACCACGTACACCACGTAACTTTAGACAGTCACATGCATTTATGTCCATGAATTCAGTCTACCGTTGTTTCAGCAAGAATTTCCTGTTCCTTTTTACCGGGCACCTAGCAGCTGCTAAATACAGATGTGTTCATGAATGATTTTTTTCCCCACAATGAGTTTTTGCCATGGCCTTGAGCCAGAATTATGAAAGATTCCACGTACTCTTTGGGCATAAATTCTCACCACCCGACTGAATACTTGTTCCTCTCACTCACGTGGGACATAAATGCCACAAGCTTTCTCCTGCTGTCAGTGCCCACCTTACGCGTCCACCTGAGCAGCATCGGGGTCAGTTTGAACTCCTGGAGGATTCGTGCTGTTCTCTTTAATTATTCCGTGTCATGCCCAGATGGGCTTTTAGTATTTTTTAAAAAATATTTTTTATTGATTTCAGAGAGGAAGGGTGAGTGAGAGAGAGATAGAAACATCACTGATGAGAGAGAATCATTGATTGGCTGCCTCCTGCACATCCCACACTGGGGATCAAGCCTGCAACCTGGGCCCTAGCCGGGAATCGAACCGTGACCTCTTGGTTCATAGGTTGACACTCAACCACTGAGCCACGCCAGCTGGGCTGGGACGTTAGTATTTAAGATGACAGTGAAAGGTCTATTAGCTTGTGTGGCCTGTAAAACTCCTATGTCGGCTCCTTCATGTAACACTGAGTCCTGTTGGCACAGACTTTAACCAGCTACCCCTGTGATTAGTGACACCTCTGGTTACATAGCTGGCAATTCGCCCAGGTTAAGTGTGCGGTTCAGTGGCCTTCAGTATATTTACATAGCGGTGATGCCACACCATCGCCCCCCAACTTAAGAACATGTCCGTCACCTCAGACAGAAACCTGTGCCCATCATTTGATTCTTTACTCTTCAGCTTCTCTCCCAAGTCACGTCCATGTAAATGGACAGTCAGAAGGACAGGAAAGGGCGCTCATTAATGCCCACCAAGGACTGGGTAGTGATTTGGAGCCTGTTTTATTGAGAAACTCGCAAATTTGGGGCTTTGTTTGGTAAATTTGCTCATGAACCGCCTTCTTTCTCCCCAGCCCGGCAGACATAGAGACGGTTAAATAAATAAAATCTGAAAGAGGAGCTGATATTGCAAATATCGGAGAGAAGAGGGAGGATGGAGTCCAGGGGGGCAGTGAGCTCGATTCTAGCCGGGAGACTGGGAGCCCCACTGACTGTCCCTTTTCCCTTTGTACGGAGGGACTCCTCTGCCTTCTGACAAGTAGTAGGCTGCCTGCTGATGTCCCCAACAGGGGGCAGAGTTCAGGGATTGCGGAGGTAGATGGCACAGTCCCAGCTGCCTGGGTTTCGCCGTGCAAGGCTGGGGTCCTCGAGCCAGTGTGTCTGAGCATCCTGAGGATATCTTGTTTAAGGGATGGATGCCGAGGCTTCGCCCAGAGATTAGGAGTCAGGGGTCCAGCCGGGCCTGGGAATCTGCATTTTAAAAATCCTCACCCGAGGATATTTTTCCATTGATTTTTTTAGAGGAAGTGGAAGAGAGAGGGAAAGACCGAGAGAAACATTGATGTGAGAGAAACACATCAATTGGTTGCCGCCTGCATGCACCCTGACCAGGGCCCCGGCTGGAGAGGAGCCTGAGACTGAGTTATGTGCCCTTGATTTGAATCGAACCTGGGACCCTTTGGTCTGCAGGCCAGTGCTCTACCCACTGGGCCATACTGGCTGAGCAGAATCTGCCTTTAGCATGGTGCCCTACTCTGGGTGATCCTGGTGCTGGGTGGGAACTGGGCCGAGCTCACAGATGACACTTGGAGAATCTGGCCTTGGAAGTATGTGGCAAAGGCCCATGCGTGGAGGCTTCTGACTCCTCAGAAGAGAGATGCACTAGAAATTTAGCTTCCCCCTGTCATTATCCTCATGTGCAAACCAGTCGCTTCCTCTTCATTTGAGAAGCCAAGCTTTGCTGTTAAAAACCTTAACATCTCTTCAGCGATGTTTGGGATTGCTTCCAAACCAGTTTGGAAAGATTACACACACACACACACACACACACACACACACACGGTCTTTTTATTAGTTGATCTTTATGGGCAAATAACCTCCATAAAAAACTTCCCTAAATCACTTTAGTTTCCTTAAAATTTGCAGCAGTTTGCACAGAATCTCGCCCTAGTCCTCAGAAAGGGGAGCCTGGGAAAGTTCTGTGCCGTCAGGGTGGGGGGTTTCGGCTCCTCTCCGTTCACATACGTGAAGAGCCTGTGATTTCGCCGTTGGCCGCTGTTTCATCTGGGATTGCTGCAGGATGGTCTAGTTGACAATGAGGTGATAGGTGTGGCCAAGTGTCTGGAATGTGGCTATCAAATACCATTTTTGCTGCAATAAAAGAGCAAAATACAAAGTGTACCAACGATAGGAATCATGGAAGCTTGATACACAGTCTTCCTGGGGTCACATTTCCCTCAAAAATGTCTGAACAGCCCAGCTGGTGTGGCTCAGTGGTTGAGCTTCAACCTATGCACCAGGCCGGGTCACGGTTCGATTCCTGGTCAGGGCTGGGACCCGGGTTGCATGCAGGAGGCAGCTGATCAATGATTCTCTCTCATCATTGATGTTTCCCTCTCATCATTGATGTTTCCATCTCTCTCTCCCTCTCCCTTCCTCTCTGAAATCAATAAAAAAATATTTTTAAAAAATATCTGAGTAGGAAAATGCAGAAAAACCAACACAAACCGAGGTGCACTCCTTTCATTGCACTTCCATCCGGAGCTCCTAGCGTGGCCTCGGAGGCATTGAGTGGCTTGGAGGCGGCTGTCAGCTCTCATGCCCTGCTCAGCGGTGCACCTTCCCATCGTCTGCAGCCCCAGAAAGAAACTTCAAAAGCAAAAGGCTCTGGTTGCAATGCGAGCCTCTGCCTGGGGGCCGTGACTGTCAGAGCCACGATGCAGACACGGGGGAGCGCAGGTGGAAATGGTACTTTCCCCACCTGCGTGTAAACACGGAAACCTACCCCCCTCCTGTGGGGCGAGATGGACTGGCCCGCAGGGTGGCTGCTGTGCTGCACTAGCGAGTGAGCGCGGCGAGGAGAGGAGGCGGAGGCGCCTGTCCTCTCTGCTCCTTTTCCTGGTGTGTCTCTGCGGAGAGGCACGTCGGAGGGGCCTCCTGTAACCCAGGCGGGCGGGGAGCCCGAGCCGGCCGGGCGTGATTTGGGGGTGAAGCCCTAAGGAGCTCCCTGCTCAGCGCAGCCAAGGAGCAGAAGTCGAAGGAGCCCTGGCATCAGGTAAAGCTGGCCTTGCACGAGGCGCCTTGCTCTGCAGGGACGATGTGAGATTCCTGGGGATGCTTTTCACTTAAACTTCCCGTTTTTCTTACGGCACAAAAATGAACGCTGCAGCTTGTTTTCATTGATGCGGGACTCGGGGAGAGAGCGGGAAGGCGGGCTGTTTGACTGAGAGAGTTTGGAGACTTTTTAAACAATGGCTGTTTTCTCAGGCTGCTGCCCCCGAGACGGCAAGGAGGGGATGGCTTCAAGATCTGCTTTGTTTTGTCCGTAGGTCTCAGTGGAATTTATATTTGAAGTGAGAGGACTTTAGAGTCATTTTTTTAGGGGGTTTGGTGGTAAAGGTGGCATGAGGAAGTGAGTATGTTTCTCTGTCACTATAAATGTGTGGGATTTTTTTCTTTAAGAAGTTCCCATGAATGAAAATGAGGAAGCAAAAATGTTTGGGTGCTATTCATACTTTACAGCTACAGGTTGAAAGAGGCTGGTGGGTGCTTCTTTGGGCAGGAAATGCAAGCAATCTAGAGATCCTTGCCTTTAAAATAAAAGTCGTTTCTGTTTTTTCTAAAAACCTAGCTATTAATCAAACCACACTATAAAGTTTATTTTTTTAGAAAAAAAAGTTTTAAAGTGTGCTGTGCTAGCACTGAAGAAGGAAGGAGCCAAGAAAAAATCATATCGACTGTGAAAGGAATAGATTTATGGTTTGGGAAAGTTTAAAAAAAGAAAAGTGAGTAACCAAAACCCAGCAGGAGTGTAGCCGCGTTGGGCCCTTCATCTCTCACCTAAGGGCACTGGGGATTTGGAAGACAATGGAGCCTGGTTTCTCCCAGGCAGCCTCCTGAGGAATGTTAAGAGGATGTGAAGTTATTTAGATTACCCCAACAGGTTCCGACAAGCCAGCGAAAATAACTAATTACAAAACAATTGTTGCTATTCTAGAGTGGATCAAAAGGCTTGTTGAGTCAAGATGGACTTAGAGAATAGGTGAATTTGCCATGGCTCATTGGTATAAATTACTTTCAAGAAGGCTTTTGAAGACTAAGTGTGCGGCCTTGCCTAGCGGCTCTTTATGGCACATTGAATGCATGTTTTCACCCAATGTTTTCAAGTGGGTCTCTCGGGCATTTTCATGTGTCGGTGACTTGAACCCTTGCACCAGCTGGTTCAAGGAAGAGCATATCATGACAACCGAGATCTGCGGGTTTTCCCCTCCAACGAAATAGTAGCTCATTTAAAAGGACCGAACAACCCTAGCTGGTTTGGCTCAGTGGATAGAGCGTATGCCTGCGAACTGAAAGGTCCCAGGTTCAGTTCTGGTCAAGGGCACATTCCTGGGTTGTGGGCTCGATCCCCAGTAGGGGACTTGCAGGAGGCAGCTGATCAATGATTCTCTCTCATCATGGATGTTTCTATCTCTTTCTCCCTCTCCCTTCTGCTCTGAAATCAATAAAAAACATATATTTAAAAAATCAGTTTTATATATATTAAAAAAAAACAGAACAGTCCCCAATACTCAGTACTTGCACCCCAACTTCCTAGAGGGACAATCAGGATCTTGCCTCCTCAATGGATTCTTGGCACCATTGACATTTGGATGGGTTGTTTCTTTGTGGACTACACTCCCTCCCCAGGCTTGCCAATTGTTCCCTGTGGGGCAAATCCCCTCCCCCCGCCCCGCCCCAGGTTTAGAACCACTGCTCTAAGAACCCCACTTTTGAGGCCTCCTGCTGTGGAGGAGGAAGAGAGGGCTGGGAGCCTGGGCTGGACCCCAGGGAGAGTGGCTGTGTCAAAGAACCCAGATAGGACACATGTTGCCTTGACCATTTTGGTTTTTGTTTTGTTTTGTTTTGGTTTGAAATGACATGGGGCTGGGCGGGGAGCAGTCCAGCGCTGTTCTGGATCTGGGCTCTGCTCTCGGCCTCTCCCCTCAGGGCCCTTTACAGGCCTGATTTGATCCGGTGCCTTGGTTGCATAGTAATCAGACTTCTTTCTCTATGTTGAATTCTATCTTAAGTGCATCCTAGGAATGTACCATTTAAAAAAACACAGCTCACTTAACAGCCCATTTTACAAAGCAAATAATTCCCCATCACTTATCAAGTCTGCAAATACAGGGTTCTTGATATGTGGGCTTTGAGGACAGGTGGGCACACACACCTGTTTGATTTTTTTCTCCTGGAACCCGCAGCTGAGGGCTTTCATTTCTTTTTTCCATCCCCACTCTACCAGTGTGTCTCCAACTTTCTGAGTGTCTAGGAATTGGGTCTTATTTTGTCAATGAACTAGAAGAGTCACAGCCTTTCTCCAACTCACAGATGACAGTAAAGTCAAATGGTTGGGATTTTTTTCCACTTAAAAATTTTCTTACATCTTTAGTATATGCTGCCGCTACATTGTTCTCAGAGGTTAACAGCTTACAAAATGAATAAGGTTGTAGCAAACAAATACTGGTACAAAACATCGGGAACAGCCAGTTTTGCTTAGTTCCCTTTCTTTTGGTGGCCCCACGCGCCAATGATAGCTTTACGTATACAGTCACGGCCTCATAAAATAGTTCTCACCAACATGCTACCTGTATTACGTTTTCATGGTGTTTCTCCAAGAACGTGGCACGTTGTACTGAGCGCCGTGCCTTTCAGGAGCTGCCACCCAAACAGGAGGAGACAGGCCACTCTCTAGGGCAGCGGTCGCCAACCTTTTGGACCTCATGGGCCACCCGTGGTCCGCGGACCACCAGTTGGGGACTGCCACTCTAGGGGGTTCTTCCCAAGCCCGGTTGGGACAGGGGGTGGCACTTGGCACTGGCCGAACGTTTTGGGAAATGCCTGTACTTGTTGGAGTCCGTTCTTGGTGATAGGGTCGGACTGGCCTATGGTGGGATCAAAGTTGTGTTTTCTGCTTTGGGGAAGCAAACCTTCCTTTGCCTCTACCTGGAGGTACCAAGGCATCATATATCATGTGTCT